CTCGAGAAACGAGGGGACCCGGCGGCATGCCTTATCCCCCTAGGTGAACGTCCCCTCCTCTCTCTGCCGGCGTCCATCACCAAGATGGCTGCTGGCAGGTAACAGCGTGTAAGCAATGACATTACTGCAGGGTGTCACCTGGTACCCACACCAAGCATCACCCCGCTTTTGAATGTCAGGATATCAGGGTCAGTACTCAGGGGGCCAGCTGATTCTGCAGTAAACCAAAACTTTGTAAGTGATTTCATCAGCATTTGAAATAGCTTAAAACATTTAGGCTTTAATAGCACTTTAAAGCAAAAAGATTATTGGCATAAGACTTGTGGTTTACCAATCAATCTGTGTTCCTGTCTTCCCCTATTGTCCTGAGCTGTATATAATAACTCACCAATTGGCAAAAGCTTTGAGTCATGGGTCCACATACAGAAGTGAGGTCCCTCTACAGCAGGGATGGACAACTCTGGCCGGAAATGCCCACCCCAACTCTACAGGATTACTCAGCTGTGACAGGAGTGTCTCACAGTTGGCCTTTTGCTCTTCTTAATTATGAAATACTGGTTGGGGTGTTTGGGCACATTAACTGGAAGGAGGCCCTAAGACTAAGCCAGAATAGGTAACCTAAGGAGTAGGCAACCTCGGCACTCCAGCTGTTGTGGAACTACAAAAGGCATTGCAAGACTCTGAAAGCCACAAGCATGCCTTCCAGAGGCAGAGGCATGGTGGAATTTGTGGTTTCAACACAGCAGGAGTGCCAAGATTGCCTACACCTGTTCTACAGGTATTATGACTCCTAGATGGTCTGGAAATGCACTGGAAACCCCTGAGATGAGATGTGGTCCAAGACCAGACTCTAGGACAACTGTTCCATCATACACAGGCATCTTACAACACTACCACTACAGAAATAAATGACATATAAGCTTGAAAGGGTATCATCACCCATATAATATGGATGAGATTATGGCTCCAAGGGTTGTGAGTGGCCTCCAAGAGTTTAAATGGTCTGAATCCAATCCATACATATTGTAATTATTGTCAGAGAAGGTTTAGCAGATAATTTGCTCATGTATGACCATTTTTGTTCCTAGCAAACAACCACACATGTGAATTAATTGGCCAGACTACACTATGCTACTGAAAGTTGATGCCAGATTGTAAGTTTAAAAGAGAACTCTATGGGGTAACCTTTTTATCCCATAGTTCTCTTCAGGATCACGGGAGGACATATACTAATCTCCTCCCGTGACCCAAAACCCAATACTGAGAGCGCCACAGCTGGGACGGATCCCGACAATACTGTCGAGGTCCACCCCGTTGGTTGATTGACAGCGGACTCTCAACCACCTGTCTAAGCGAGTACCCACCCTATCACAGGTGAGTTGAACACCACTCACCCCCAACCTTCTCAACACAGTCATTGCGCTAGGTTGTGGCGCTTCCATCTCCAATTTCTGTTTTTTTGACAGCGGGCTCTGCCTAGCTAGAGACAGAGGCAGCTGTGCCCGCCGCCCCCGCTGGAGGATCGGGGGGGGGGGGGGGGGGAC